CTATAGAACATATATCAATTAATAATGGCTGGGGACGGCTTAAATGGGGAATGAAGAAAAACTTTAATATAAGCTTAACATGACAGCAAATGTACAACGTTTCGACAAGGGTTTGTCCTGGTAATTGTACCTGATGAGGACAAAACCTTGTCGAAACGTTGTACATTTGCTGTCATGTTAAACTTATATTAAAGTTTTTCTTCATTACCCATTTAAGCCGTCTCCAGCCATTATTAATTGAAAACATTGTTCACTACAGTTTATTCAGAAGTTTAATACTGAAAAAAATACAGGTTTGTAAAGTTTATTTGTACATGTCCTTTGTAATGCACACAAATGATAAATACATAATGTCAGTTGCAGTTTCTTAAAATTCTTTCTTCTTTACACATTATGAAACACCAGCTAATTGTAACCTCATATTTCTTTTAAATAATTTGTTATAAAGGATTAAAAATTGAATTAAGTTTGTACAGTGTTCAATTCAAGTTCACTGAAGGAACAAGTATGCAACATTATGTAACTGGACATATGTATACTACATGTCAGAGAATTTAACAGAAATTGTATTTTTTAATTCAATTCACAGGTACTGAAAACATAAATAAAAACATCATTCTTTATTACATATTTTGCCATATTTATGATGTTTTTGTTAATTATAAATACATTCTCTAATGTAAATGGTAATATACATGTTATATTTATCCTCCAGTTATTGATGTTGTATGGGTTAAGAAAGTTTTATTTTGGCAACTTTGAAGAATGTATACTTCCCCAACTATAGTAATTACATAATAATCACCACAATATGTACACAGAAATCTTTAACTGTAAACTCAATAGAGCGTATAACATCTAACTACATCTCTCTCCATACCAAAATCACCACCTTACAGAACATTCTAATAAACAATGGCTATCACTTGCATTTTATTCAAGCCCTAACATGCAAGTTCCTTTCTCACAAATTTGAATGTCCAAAGAAAACTCACAATGTTGACAAATGCCCACTAAGACTGATTGTTCCTTTTCAGGTAAGCAAAGTTTCTTGGTGAAGTCACAAATTTTAAGATTAATTAAACTGTTTTATCCACAAGTTCAACTATAAATGATATTGAAATAACCTTTCAATATAAAAAATCTATTCAGATCTAAGAACTTATTACCTACCCCTATGCGTTTCAGGATTGTATATAAATACACATATAGTGGCTGTAATGCCACTTACATTGGCAAAACTATACACCAATCACACCTGTAAGCCTGCAAACATATGGGAGTATCAAGCAGAATTGGTAAAAACTAACAAATCCACAAGACTTCACAATTCATACACAATGAAAGCAACAACCACCCCATCTTGATTAAGAATTTCAGAGTCATCTCATCTGGATCGTCCAATATTGAACTTTTAATTAAAGAAAATTTATTTATTATAAATGAGCTTCCAATATTAAATAATAGCACAGCTTCACTACAATTGAGTCTGTTCTGAATACTTGTATAATATTATTACAATTGTTGCATTATCCTATCCTATTCTTTCTTATTTATTTGTTTGTCTTTTAACTTACTTCATCCTTTTATTATGTATTTTAATTACTCTTTATAAAATGTTTGAACTTTATAAATTTTTGTACCTAATATTTTACCTTCTTCAATATTAAATTTTGATTCCTGTTGAATGAATTTGTTGCAAGCAAAATTAAGATATAAAACAATCTGGGTGGAAATGTTCAAAGTCAAAAATCAGATGTAATGATCACAAATCACACATATAATAATTAGTATATGATAATTAATAAATTTAATTTAAAGCAGGGATGCAAGAAAATTATTCACATAAGCATACATAATTTTTCTATGGTCTGAAATTAGCATCAGTGGTATGTAATGTAATATACAAAAGCAACACAATAAAAATCTCAAATGTTAAAAGTGATGATAAAATCTCCAAAAACATTCCAGTAATTAAAAATTACCTAGAAAATAAAGAAGTAACCGAAGACAAAAATAGTTTGCAGAGAGCTATTTACCTTTTGCCAAGGATGGGCCTTGATTTGAGGAAACTTAAATTCCGTGTAGTTACGGTTCATCTCCCTGATTTGTTCTTTGGTGGGAGTCCCAAGAACCTTGATAATCTCTACCAATTGGTCCACCCCACTGTCACCAGGAAAGATAGGCTGACCAAGTAATAGTTCTGCAAGCACGCATCCTGCTGACCAGACATCTGAATAAACAGAACACCATAGACTTTTACTCAGCAATCCATTTAGAAACTCACAAAGAAAATTGATTACAAGCAACAGAGAGATAGAAGGATTGCACTGCTTTGCAACTTGTAAATATAATAGCGTGTCAAGTCTGAAGTATTATAGATCAGGGCATTTCATACATGTGTATAGACTTTATCACTAAAATATTTTAGTTCTTTAACTAGTCAATATAATTCCTCTTCATTCCAACTCTTCGTTACTTGTTTTTAAAACTATACTACAGTATTTTAAAGAAAAAACTATGTGTGTATAACTGATATAGGAAAATAACAAAATGAAGAAGAAACAGTTCACCCAACATTAAAATGAAGGTGTAGGTTTTGGCACATCACCCCTGCTAAACAGCATTTATAACAATGTTCAAGAAGCATATGTATATTGTATATAATAACTTCTCAGAACAGGCTTTAGTTCACATTTTTCATGTTTCATACCCAGGGGTGTGTGCAAGTTATATCATCCCAGGCCCAGAACAAATAAACTTAAACAAGTAGTGTTATCTTGGTATTTTATCTGGTGTACAAACAGGCTATCTACAAACCACCTACAATCAGGCAACAATTTAGAAGAAATATTTTTTTATAAACATTTTATTTTTAAAAAATAAAAATAAAATTATCAGTGCAGAGCAGTTGTAGAACACTATTACACACCATCACTCATGTAATTTGAATGTAAGTTCAGCAGTATGTGAATAAATACTGAACAATTGTTTGTTTGTTTTGAATATCGTGCAAAGCTACACGAGGACTATCTGCGCAAGCCGTCCCTAATTTAGTAGTGCAAGACTAGAGGGAAGGCAGCTAGTCATCACCACCCACCGCCAACTCTTGGGCTACTCTTTTACCAACGAATAGTGGGATTGACCGTCACATTATAATGCCCCATGGCTGAAAGGGTGAGCATGTTTGGTGTGACGAGGATTCGAACCCACGACCGCAGATTGCGAGTCGAGCACCCTAACCACTGACACATATATTAAGAGGTTTTTTTTTAAATACTTGATACATAAAGACTAATGTAAAGTATTACATAAAATTATTTTGAATTCTGACGGTGACTATAACAATTAAGGATGGGGAATGGTTATAAAATCATGTTCACGGTTAGTTAAGCATAACTAACAGATGATCAATTGCTGATTAATTAAACATACATGATTAATAATTTTAATTTTTCACCATTAGTCTGGTTTTCGCTGCTGTGGAATTCAGCACTTGCTGTCATGATACCCCCACTCATTAGCCAATGAACAGGTGCTCATGCAAATGCATCACTGTATGATAAATGGAAATTGTTTTCACACAGGTGATTGTTAGTTGTTCATCTAAAGTTTATCAACCTTTGCAAGTTACCACTGTCAAGGTTTTTTTCTTGCAGTGAAATGCATACTTTTCAAGGCTTTGATTTAAAACAAAAAGGCAAACTCGTGTACTTTCAAGGTTTACAAATATCTATGTAAGCCCTATACAAGTTAAATTATTGAAATGTTGTGCAATATGCTTTTTTAGTTACATCTTTAGTCATTTTAAACCACTTCATCCACTATGTAATGTAGTTTACAATGTTTCATGTTACAATGATTACATGTTAATTCAAGATGCTTAAAAACACAATTTTTCAAAACTTTTCATGCATATGCAAATTGACAATTAATAGTGTAAAATAAATTAATCAAATTCAATACGCACAACACAAATATTTTCAGGAAAATTGTTTCACATTAACAAGTCATTTCTCCTAACAATTTACATTTTTTAATTCACTTAGTATTTCTTTCAACAATATTATACATTTATTAACAGCAAAATATGGAATTAAGTATATAAAACTTGTTACACTATTCAACCAACCAATGTGATAAATTCCATTCACATTGAGACCAATATTAATCTTTAAAGAGAGGTAAAAGGAAATGAACTATTTTCCAAGGACACTGGACAATCACAAAACATACTCATATTATTAAAACAAGGTTACGAGCTCCTTACCTATCATTGTTGTATAGTCAGTAGCACCAAATATCAATTCTGGTGCTCGGTAGTAACGTGAGCAAATGTATGAAACATTTGGTTCACCTCTAATTAGGTTCTTAGCACTAAAATAAAAAAAAAAAACTTTCTTAGTCTTAATTATTGACACTTAAAATTATTTCATCAAATAGTTTAAAATGAAAAAAAAATAACATATAACAGTTAATTCAATACAACAGGTTTATTTATATTTCACTTTCTGAAGTAAGAAGATTTAAATAATCTTCAAATGTTCTGTCTCTCTGTACTCTACTATTTTTCATCATTTTGAAGTGAATATGAAAACATTACCTAGTTATCTAGATTTTTTACTCAAAAGAAGCAAATTAATAATTACTTATTTATAGCTAAAACTATTAATTTTTCAAGTTAGATGAAAAATGATCATATTTCTTAACTTACACACCCAATAGCAAAAATAAACATGGAAACCACACACTGAAATCAGTACAGACAGTGTACAGCTTCTGCCAATCACTTCATCCATGGATGGTGGTTATCTATAGGGTAGTACACTTGTGTTAATGTGATCTTTTGTGAACGTTTGTCACACATCATTTTACTGACTTGTAGAATTAGCCTACAATTACCATTTCCACAGATGTATGTGTAATGAAGAAGGTATGATCTCCAGCAAGCATACACTCAGGGGCCATAGGAAGTGGTAAGGCCAGTCAGGCCATGATCTGACCAATTTTTCAGGACATGTATAGCTACAACTCATGTATTAAACTTGCTTCTTTTAATTTAATTCATTATGTGTATGCAGTATTTGTAGTTAAAATGGCTCAAGATTCAATCTCATAACATTAAGTTTTCAAAGATTTTCTGAGGGAGCATGCCACCAGACTCCAATAGAAATAGCATATTTTGCATGCCGGTTGTGTGCTTTGTAGGTATCACTGGGTGATGTATGCAAAACATTCTTACAGGCTCAGATATTTGGTACTGTAAATTACAAACTGAGTCAAGGAAGAAAGCTCAGACTTTCCACTATTAATGTAAAGTATCTCTGGGCATGTTAAAATGGTCAAACATTTTAGCAATGTCTTAATTTTTTGTATATTATTTACAGTTAGAATCCAAACAGTGATGTCATTTCACACATACAAAAAAGTTATATAATAACCAAACCATAAAAATGAAGTTTTACTGCAGTTACATGATCTATCCCCATCCTTTTTCAGCTTTATTAGCATTACTAAGAGTTTGCCTTACATATGTGTTATATCTTGCACTTTGAATTTTCAGTTCTTCTACAAAACTGTGAGAATGTATACCCTTACTCAGGTCAGTTAGCTAATAATTTGCATTAAAAGAAAAAGAAAAAAAAGAAGACAGTTTTAAACAGAATTCTAATTTGGCTTAGCTGTAGATTCAGAGAACTACAAATATTAAGAAATGTTAGAAATGAAAACCTGAATGAAACAACTGTTAGACACATGGTTTGCAAAGTCTTAATAAAAAATAAAAAAAATAAAAAAGAAGAAGAAGTAGAAGAGAATTCTGTGACAGATATACTAAGTCCAATAACACATAATCTAGATACTAATTAGAAAGTTTGTACTGTGTATCAAACAACCTGGTTCAGTATTTCCAATATGCAAAGGAAATAAATCTGTAGATATCAGTGACAACTCTTTGGTTTAGAAAGGGTTAAATGAAGTTATAATTTTTTTTTTTACTTTCCACTACTGTTAGTTTGTATTCATATAGTTTCTTTGTTTATAGACACAATTTTCATATTACTAGTAAAAAAGGAAGATATTTGCTGTACAATCATTACAGAATTCACTCAGTCCTAACAGCACAACTGGCAAAACAGCTTAAGAAAATACTTGTTTGAAAATTAACATACTAAAAATAACTAATAATCTTGCTTATTGGTTCGAAATTTCCAAACACTAACTGAACTTTAACTTATTAACACTAAATGTTCCTTCCTTACCTTCCAAAATCACACAACTTTAGAACTCCTGTCTCTGGATCTAGAAGTAAGTTTTGTGGCTTTATGTCTCGATGACAGATTCCTAAGGAATGAATGTAGGCTAAACTGCGGAACAGCTGATACATGTACAACTGAAATGCAAAAAAATTACATATCACTTGATAACTTCTAAAATATATTATTTAAAATGATGGCCATGCTAATCTTAGTCCTTTCAAAAAAAAATATATATATATATATCAAAACAAAAAGTGAAACTGGGTGTAATTAAAAATATATCTTCATACTAAAAATCAAAATTACAACTTAGATAAAACAATTTCAAATGAAAAGGTAGTGTTTAATTTAAAATATTACACATCTTTCCGACAATGCTTTTTCATTTATGACTCTCAAATGCTGATCTTGACAACCAAGTGTTTGTTATCCATAGATTTTGTATTTCCAATCATTACAGAATTTCCAAGAAGTCACAGGACTAGTGATCTAAACATACAATGGAAACTTTTCTGTATAAGCCAATTAGTTTTCCAAATCAACAAAGAATTGTGTAGAGATCAGAAGTGGTAAAAGGTAAAAATTTCTTCAAATACCACATAAAAAATTATACTTTATTTTGCAATATCTATATAATGTTTCTAATTTCCAACAATTTCACCAGTAGGTTGTTTTTCGCAAAGCTAAAAAACAAACAATACAACAGGTGCATCATATTAATACACCCATGAACTTAAGAGTTAAAAAGATAGTGAGTTAGAAAAACAATGACAAAGCTACTGCTTAGTTGCACAATGCTTTGCCACACACAGAAGAAATTATTATATTCAATATTTAAAGTTTTTAAACAGAGTGATTAGAGATGTCATTCTCATTATAGAGTTTGTGCCCCATGGGATAAAAAAAGGCTACTAATTTCTATATCTTTGATGCTCATTCATGGGGTCTCAAAAAAACTATGGCAATTACTTTGTATAGGAAGTGAGAATGATGGTGAGTAAAACAAAAGTTCCAATGTTAGCAGATGAAATAATAGTCAACACAAAAATATCCAAGTTAAAATTATTCACTACTCACCTTAATAAATGATATTGGTATGGTTTGTCTTGATTTACTATAGTGTCTTGCTACTCTATAGACCATTTCAGGAATAAATTCCATGACCAAGTTGAGGTATACTTCATCTTTCTGAAATAAAACATACTGAGAAGTTAACTAATTATGAATAAGCAACTTTCATCTGTATCCATGAATCTAACTACTGTTGGTATAAAAAGTACTGATCTTATGTATTCTTAAACTGGAATAAAATGTACAACATCTTTTTTCTTTTCGTACGAATTATTTTGCAAGCTACATAAAACAAAGAAAAATTCAAAACTATACTCAGAGTTAAAAAGTACTTTAGCTGTACAAAGTTATGATAAATCAAAGAATCTGTATTCAACAAATTCAAACTGATATAAGAATCAAGTTAAAAAAAAATGTTTGTTGAAACCCACAATACTTAAGGTTCTTTAGCAAAATCTTGAGATTTTGAGGGAAAAAGAGACACATTTAATAATCTCTTCTGTTCCATCACTTTTGTATTTCTGCAAGCTTACCCTTTCTCCACTTGAATAGAAAAAGTACTTCAGTCTGACTATATTACAGTGATCCAAGCGTCTCATAATCTGCAGCTCCCTATTCTGAAATTTAAAAAAATCATAGTAAAATGTATTGAGATCACTTTTATCACACACAATATAATGTTTCTTTCGTATGCTCAAAGAATCAACAGCTATTTATTTCCATTTTATTACATTTCATATACTTGAAAAATTCTGATTTACTTCAACAAATATACTAATGAAATACTAAACCACAGTGCTCTTAATTACTGACACCATGAATAAGCTCAATCTTATGACTGTACTAAAGTATCAAAGTGCATTAAATTCCTTTATTTATGAACTTTTTTAGAATGAGATTTGAAGAAGGCAATGACCAAATTTATAATCAAGAATAAATGAATTTACTGTTACAATTGGGTGATTTAATCAATTTATCAATTACCTATAAGCAGCAATTATATCAATTAGTGTTTTCAATTATTCCAAATAGCCAAGTAATTGAAATATTGCCATTATGTTTATTTGTTATTAAGCACAAAACTACATAATGGGTGTGTGGTAAGATGCTTTGTGATTTGAAGGTATTGAGTTTGATTCCTATCGTCACTAAATTTACTAATTTTGGACTGCTGACTAGAGAGAAGACAACTGACTGGTAACACCTATTGTCAATGCTCTAGTCATTCAGATGTTCAACAGAATGTTAATTTACTGTCTTTTTAACACTGTATTACATTTCTAAGTACTAGGCACAGTTCTAGTGAAAGGGTCATGGAGGGGACAAACCCCCTGCATTTCTTTAGAGGTTAATATCTATATTATTTATTGTAAAAGCAGGTACAGATTTAGGGGAGAGTGTACAAGGAGGTCAAAACCCCTACTTCATCCCTTCCATACATTTGTTCAGAAATTAATAATTGCATCATTTAATGTTCAATAAGTTGGCACAGATCTAGGGGTTCAAACCTCTCCATTTGTTTTCAGAAATTAATTGAAAACCCAGCTTTATCTTTTTTGTTTGCACCATTAAAAGGTTCTTGAAAGTCTCATCTGGTTTCGCATATTTAACAAATAAATCATGATATTCATCATATGCCTTTTTGAAAATAATCCCAAAATATGAATCTTTGTCACATACTAAAGCAATATATTAACAGGATGCACACTAAACACACTCCTAGAAGCAACAGATTGAGTAGGAATTTCTGTCAAAACACCTGAATGTTCAGCATCTGCCGAAATGCGACTAATTTTGTGTGTTTTCTGGTATGAAAAAAAATCACAGTACCAGAAAAATTAAACAATTTGAATCGTATGTTATATAACATGTATAGGTCAATCTTCAGAAAGAATTAATGGAACAAAACTGAGAATTTCTCATATTATAAACTTGATCTATAGCTATCACTTTGAAAAGCTCTCTTCGTACCATCAGATCTGATGAGTTGAAAAACCAGGTAATTTTTACAAATTTTGGGTGGCTATACTTAATGATATAGATACACTGAATTTTCAAGTTATGTTTCACACTCTGGTGTTGGACAATGACTAAAACATTCCAAGTTATGAATAATTTATCTTCACAAAGGTGCTTCTCCTCTTACTGTACAAGCACTTACTCAGTTTGTCAATCCAATTGAATCCTAAGAACTTGTTTAAATTACTCAATTCATTAAAAAAAAATGGCACCATTACAAATTTCTGGAATGGAATATTTTTTGAGAAAATTAACTTTGAAGATCATACTAAACTTACATTTAATAATAAAAACGATTTTATTACTGTTTTTCTGGCTGATTAAGCAAGAAATTGAAATTTGTTTTGCCAAATGCCTGCCCAGGACAAGTTTTACCATTGTACTTTGCCTGCTGAACAAGTATTTTTTTTCCCACATTATTCATTCTATTCCTAAAACTATTCCTATTGCCAACAAAACTGAGCTGCCAATGGCATTGCACTGATTGTGTTCACTATTATATAAAGGTAAAAGCCTCAAGTTTATATTCTAGCTATTTCTGTAGAATGGGGGGGACAAGTGCATTTTTCTAGCATTTTGTACACACCCTTTTACAGACGCAGACAAATAGAATTATACATAAAGTATACTTGAAGGCTATAAAAACTTGTAAACTTTGGTGAACTTTCAAGTTTGTAAGACAAATACTTTAATATAAAGTAACACTCTGCATACCCCACTCAGAGATAAATTGTCATGAACTTCTTTACAACGAGTTTAAGATTATGAAATTTTCCACAACCAACACTAATATAGCAGAGGAGAAGTATACTCAAATATGACAGCTGAGGAATGGCTCCATTGCCTGATTTGGCATGGAATTACTCACTTTCAATTAAAGAAAAATGAAAACTTATTTGCCAGCTGATTTACTAATAATTTCACATAACTTGACAATTGTCACAGATGTTGAATTATTTTGTTTTTTGCTTTTGCTGCTTACACACATAGAACATGATAATATTCTTTTATTCAAATTACATGCAATTATCCTGCTGAAATGTTATTATTTTTATTTTACATTAGATATTTCTGTACAAAAACATTAGATTAAATTAGTGGTAAAAATAAAAAAGAAGAATCAAGTTGACTATCATTATACATACTTTGTCTAAAACTAATTCACTATTAATGAAATATACATGCAGACAGTGTGTACTGCTAAGTTATTTGCCAGCAAAGACTGAAACTTGTTAACCTAACAGTGTAATCATTTTTAAATTATTGTTCCATATTTACAAGAGAAATCAATCTGAGTCTTTCTAGGTTGACACACTCAGAAAAACATAATCAGTATAATCATGGTTCAAACTAAAACATGATATTTTAATAACTTGGGTGCACTGTTCCATAAAACAGAAAGTGTAGAATTTGATATCTATCTTAAATTCTTATTTACCTTTTTTTTTTTTACTTACATCAATAAAAGTAAAATGTAAATCAAGTTTTTTGGAAATCAATGACTAAAGCTTTCTCGTATCCAAAAGTTTTAAGTGTCCTGAAAGTAAAGTACAAATAACCTAAATCTAGTATTATAATACAAGTCATTACAGAACAATCATATGCCTTGCCAGAGATTTTCTGAAGGTTAATTTGATGTTTATTGTAAACAAAATACTGTGAACTGTAAATAGTATACTCAATGCACAATGAAAATTAACTATCCATATGAAAATTCTACTTTTTCACTAATGAATGTGACTTTTCAAGAGTTGCTTTTAGTTTTTAGGTCAGTGCACTAATACATTTACTGTATTTTCACAATCATTTTAGGTACATCTTCCAACTGTTATGTAATAGCTACTACATTTATCTTCAAGAAAATAACCATATGTGAAAAAACAAAACAACGGTTTTTTCTAAAGGCCAGCACTGTAATTGAATTCCATTCTTATCTAAAAATGCATATCTGAAAATCAGAACTATTTAAGTAGAGTTGGCCAGAATTATTATGAAGTAAAGAAGGCCAAAATAAAAGCATAAAACAGTGTACACCTTACATGAAAGAAATCACTTGTGTGAAACAGATATTGTTTTAAAGAAAAATCCAGAGGTCAACTAAACCACACAAAACATGGTATTTCACAAGTAAGAGCTATTAACAGCTACATAAAAATAGTCCTTACAGAAGCAGTGTACAAGGATAATAATGTAAATTACATTCAAAATTTAATTAAACACCTTTAATATCAATGGATGTGAATGAAATTAATATTATAATGTGTGTTATGATTCGAGGTTTTATTTTATCCAAGTTTTAAGTCCTTTATTTCAAAATAAACCTCTAAAAACTACTTAAAACTTCAGATTTATTGCATTGTTACCAACGAGCTATGAAAATTCTCTACTTCGGCACTCTCTGTCTTCAATAATACAACAGCAATACTGTAGAGGTAGGTCATAACAATGAGATACTTAGATAACCTTTTGACTCATTAGTTTCAAAGTTCTCTGAACAAAATAGAGTTGAAACAAGCAATAATTTTTTCAACCCCTGACAGCTGCCATGCTCACCATCAACAGATTTGCTTGAGCTTTATTGTCTCCATATAGATGTGTACATGACATGTGTATAGACATTGGCACACAGTTGTCATCATTGGTTATATGAAATTGATTATAGTATGGTTGGCTGCTTGATGGACTATAGCACTTATAGTTGTTTCTTCCCTAAATATGTTATAGTTAGGTACAGTTTAAATTTTATTTAGGTCTTACTATTATATTTTAGGTAATTATGCATTATCTATGTTTTAAAATGCATAATTGAAAGGTTTAAACGCTTTTTAAATGTACATCATACCTTGCTTCCATTTTCAAGGCTTAGGATATTATGCACAGAAGACAAATTTTGCCAATGAGTTGTGCATGTATCCCAAAGTAACTAATATATCTCAAAGGCAAATTTGAGTTGCATCGAGATGAATAATAAGTGGTAAAGGACAATAAATAAAAATAAAACATTAAAAATTAACTATTTGTGAAAAGGAAAAGAGCTGAAATTACGAATTTAACAAAAGGAAAATACTTTAAAGGTATTCAATAAAAAATTAAAAGGTAATAGTTGTTTAGTCGTGGGAGGCAAGG